AAAGGAATCAGAAATATGTATACCTTTTAAAGCAAAACATTAAAGATCTCCTATCATGCTATTTTTAGGCATATATTATGGGCCTCAGATATATACAAATATATAAAAAACATGTCTATGATGTGTTTTGCTCAAAATACCAAACAGATCACCCATTCTAGCCATGCCTCATATCCCTCTATTTCACTTCCTGTTAGAGAAGTGCTGATTCTGGGTCCTTTAAACAAATAAAAAAAGAGGGGGGGGGAGCTTATGCCTGCTCAGAATTCTACCGAGATACAGAGCTAAATGCTGCCGTGATGAAACGCCATATCATGTTCACAACCACATCAAGGATTATTTCTGAAACAGTACGGAGCGGGTTTACCACAAGGTACCTTTTTATTTCCTGCTTTTTTACACATAGACTCACCAGTGTTAGCTCTGAGTGTTAGCGATGCTTGCTAATGTAAAGAAAGACCATATTACGTCCAAAACACGTTGCGCATTGTTTCTGATAGCAACGTTTCTGATTGGGCCGTGGGCGTAAAGCCAGCCCACATTTCAGATATGACGTCATATCGGACGCAAATCTGGATCAGCTCCGTTTTTCCCCCGGTTTTTGAGATTTGGGTACGGAGGAAAAGAGAGAGGGTTTTGTTTTCTGACACTTTGTGAGTTCACTGACACACCGGGGACACATATTTATGTATAAAAGACATAAAAAAGTGAATTTTGCACGATAGGAGACCATAACATCCGAGCACAATCACCCACCTCGAGCCTCTGCACCACCTCTCGTATGTCCTCCGCCTGGCTCTCCATCACACTGATTGACACTGACTCCCCACGCTCGTAGAAGATATCCAAGTAGGGCCCCCCCTGCTTAGTCTCTGTCACCGCCTTCCAGCCGATGACATCTCGACAGGAGCAGTTGAACACCACCCTGCGCGTGCACCTCTCTATGAGCACCACGGACTCAGCGGAGACCCCGAGCAGACAGGGCAGTCTGTGCTCCCCCGCCTCCGTTTCATACCCGCTGTTGACCATCACGGCCCACACCAGCGCCCCCGCACTGTGTAGCTCCGCCCCTTTGGCGCCCTTCAGCTTGTCCTTGCGCTTTCCTCCCAGAGAGAGCAGGGGGAACTTGGTGGAGGAGTCGATGGGCGTGGTGGTCACATAGTTTTCTGCCAGGTCCTTCAGGTATTCCTGCCGCGTGCGGGTGGCCATGGAGCGGAACTTCTCCGACTTCTCTGCAGCGTTTTCAGCGTTCACCGCCTTCGCCAGGAGGAAGTCTCTGAAGGCGGAGGAGCGAGGGAATCGTGCGCCCTTAGGGAACAGGGGGCCAAATAACGGCATGTCTTTAGAGCGTGTCACAGCCACCCTGAGAGGGAGAGAGGGAAAGAGGAGTGACAGAGTAAGAGACTGGGTGCAGCAAGATCGATCTACGTCTTGTTCTGGAGGGCTTCACTGGTGTGAAGTGCTCTCTAGAATTACAAACATTTACAGTGAACCTGCTGCAGGGGAGCACAGATCCGTGCGCTGAGCTGCCCCACAAGTACTATAATTAGACCCTCCAGAAAAACGCGGGCAAAAATCCTTGATTATGCGATTAAACATGCAGGGTTTTTATGTAATTTTATGCGGTGAAATTGCGGGAAGTTGCAAAATATGCAGAAAGTAGCGAAAAATAATAGATTTTTTTTTTAATATTGGGCTGTCTTATTTATTCTCTCTCACACACAACCTGCCACTAACGTTAAACCCCTTTCCTATTCAATTAAACACATTCAATGTTTATTTATTGTAAAAGCAATTGGGCTATTTTAATCACACTCTCTCTCTCTCTCTCTCTCTCACACACACACGTCACACATACGTCACACACACACACACACACACACACAAACACACTTCTCCGCCTCATTCTGTTTTCATTTACTCGTTCGTTATCTGACCAGCTTCAATCTTGTAGGCTACTCACTTCGTTTCTTGTAGCCCTCGAAAGGGTTTTGGAGGTTGATGCCTCGGTGAACGTGAGTTGTTTGGCTTTCTTGTCCGCAGCAGCAGAAAGCATNAACGTTAAACCCCTTTCCTATTCAATTAAACACATTCAATGTTTATTTATTGTAAAAGCAATTGGGCTATTTTAATCTCACACACACACCCTCCCCCCCACACACACACACACACACACACACACACACACACACACACACACACAAACACACTTCTCCGCCTCATTCTGTTTTCATTTACTCGTTCGTTATCTGACCAGCTTCAATCTTGTAGGCTACTCACTTCGTTTCTTGTAGCCCTCGAAAGGGTTTTGGAGGTTGATGCCTCGGTGAACGTGAGTTGTTTGGCTTTCTTGTCCGCAGCAGCAGAAAGCATATTTGAATGTTTGAATGAATCAAAGTGGGTCGTCACCGTCGATTTTCTCTAAAACGTATGCTCCAACACACAGTTGCACGGGGTGCAGAATATTTTCCCCCCTGCGCGAGCTGATGACGTCATCATCATCACTACTTCACGTCAAGACGAGTTAACTTTTTTTTTTCTCAACTTTGTGTGGAAAAATGCGGGGATTATGAGGCCTTTTGATAAATATGCGGCCTTTTAAAAATCTGCGCCATTTTGCTGATTATGCGGTAAATTCTGCGATCGCGTTTTTCTGGAGGGTCTAATATAATGTATTCCACGTGTGAAAGAGAGCACATAGTAACAACAATCCCAACGTTGGAGCCCACTGGCTGGAAATGATTTGATTGATATTTCAGCCTGTAACACGAGGGGATGGTATTTTTGGGGTGTGAAAGGGTGTTTTTAACAGACCTGTAATAGGTGTTGTCAGTGCACGGCTCATGAACCTGGATGATGATAAAGACATGTTGGAAATGAGAGCGGATGGTCTTTGGCGTGAACGGCAGCGCACCCGGCTCCTGGAACACGATCGTCACGATGTCGTTACCGACGTGTCGCTTCCTCAGCAACTGGAGAGTAAAAACACAGAGAGAGAGAGAGAGAGAGAGAGAGACGGTCATTAAACCATTAAGAGAGAGTCGTTATAGTAAAGTGAGATGAGCCATATAAAGGTGAAACAGTTTGACATCGAGATTCAGCAAAACAAGGTTTTAAGAAGGATTTTAAGAGATAATCTAAGTAGGGGAAGCAGACCTTCTTTAATTTCTTTAATTCTGGTGTGCAACAACAATTACATTATTATTGGATATCATGTATTTATCAAGCAATTTAAATGGTTAAATGTAATATTTTCATATAATGGAGGCGTGTGGTGCAGTGGGTTGTGCGTTGGTGCTTGGATCAGGGGGTCACAGGTTCTAACCCCACTGCAGTCAGCATGTCATTGTGTCCCTGAGACACTTCATCCCAAATTGCTCCTGTGGGGATTGTCCACAGTATTGAGTATGTAAGTTGCTTTGGATAAAAGTGTCTAACAAGTGACATGTAATGTAATAATGTATTGTTGGATGCAGTGTTGATGTTGTAGCAACAGTATTTACTGTATGTAGTGTAAACATTTGTTTATGCATTTTCCTTGAATACAGACCCCAGGCGGAGTAGTTGCAAAGGCATTCATGAGTATTAACTAACACTAATGTGCATCCATACACAAAAATCAAACAAATCAATGGTTAAATAAAGGCTTGATTGGGAAAATAGTTGTTGTAAAATAAAAAAATAAGCATGTTTTAATATTTTTTAAATAGGCTTGCATGACCAAAACCATACTGTACTTAGAAAAATACAGAATGTTGTAACTACAAGTTCCTTTATTGCACATCTTGTATGACAAAGTAAAAAATAGAACTGAAAAAAAAACTTTACCTAAAAGCGGGCAGTTTGTGGAGTAATCTCAGGGCTTTGTCACTACCAGGATTTGTTTTTATTTAAACCTTTAATCTATATAAGCATGTCATTTCCAGTGTCTTTTGTAATAACATCCAACAGCCTTAAACCGCACATAAAGAAAGAACGCCAGCTTCCTGAGAGAGGACTGTGAAACCCTTCCTGGTGGGAGTGAACACTGGGGGGCAGGATTTTTATGTCAGGCTTTTTACAGAATAAAGAGGTTTTTTTAAGAATTAAGAAGAACATGACAGTGTGAACAGAGATTGGTATAGAAAGGTTATACCAAGACTGATTTTTTATTTTTACGAATAAGCAGTGAAGCAAAAGTAATTCCGTGAATTCTAAGCGATGAAATTGGTATTGAAGATACACAAAAAGGCAGGAGAAGGGAATCATACATCAAATCTCTGGTGAAAGATATTTTATGTTGTACCTGTTGTGTGTTGTTGGATGTGTAGGGCAGCATCGTGGACACATGGAACATAATCTCATAGTCCTGGTAGCGCGTGTAGAGGGAGTGTGTCCCAGTTGAGTCCGCTACACAAGGACAACACACACAGAAAAACCCATCACACATCGAAACAGACACTGGAAAAAAATCAGTCAGCGTCTCTGATTGAACGAGTCAAACTCTCCGTCTCATTTGCTGTTCACTGAGTGGAGAACAGCTCTGAGATAGCAGCAGTGACTATGCTGTTTTGCAGGCATTACTCAGATTACATGTGTCTAGATAGAGGTTATCTCATGCTTTCAGCGGGGCACTGATGCCCTTCGGATAATGATCCTGCGACAAGGTGAGATACAGCCAATACGTGTGGGTGTGTGGTGTGATTTTCTCTCATCAGCTCACTCTTGTTGTCCAGTTGAGCTCGGTATTTCTCCCAGCCCTTCAGCCGCACGCGCTCCCCGAGCAGATCCAGGAACTCTTCGAACGCCGGGCCCGAGCTCTCGTTGTTGTACATGTCTTCCTCCGAGCTCTGCCCCGCGCGGCAGTACATCACCCCGACCTTACGCTGGAAATTCAGCTGCGTGAGGAAGACAGAGAAGTAGAGTTTATAATTACCCTGCCCAGACCTTTCATCTGATAGGGCATACTGATCATTTGACATCTTACTCGCAGCTCAGAAAGCTTGTCTGGAAGAATGTACGCTGTGAAATGTTATACTCCTGCACAGCACACAGCACACTAATAAACCTGTTAATCCCCTTTTCATATTAATGACAGAGTTCAGGCTGCGAAATGCTTCAAACTGAGAGTTTCTTTAAAGAAGTTATTCAGTCCTATTGTGAAGTAGTTAACCTGAAAGGTGAAGCAGGTGTGGGTTTAACTGGTTAATTCTGCAATTAAATGTAAAGGGATATAACAAATTAATTAAGCAATAGCTCACGACAGGCTGTGGTATATTCTCTAACCCTAACTGCAGGCAGTTTGCTTTTCAGCCCAACTGTATACTGTGTTTCTCAGGCGCGGAGGGATACTGACTTGTTGTGAAAAGTAACTTACAATTCTACCCGTGGTACACGCTCAGTATATCACGTCTAAGAACCAATCAGATTGCTTGATTTGACTTGTCCGTTTTATAATTGTATTTAGAATAGAATAGAATCTTTTAATATCATTATACATGTACAATGAGATCATAATAAATGCTTCTCCCTTTCAAGGGGCCATCAAAACAAAAACAAAAACATCACAACATAAGACAACAAAATACACGCAGCATACACACTTAGGAATAAGGGATAAAGGAATAAAGAATAAAGTGCAGTAATTATTTCCAGGAGTATAAAAATAAAATCTGTAATGTAATAAATAATAATAATAGTGTGTATTAATAATAATAATAATAATAATGATCTGTGTGTTTTAGTGGTATAGGACTTAAACGACTATGTGATCAACAGGAAGTAGTGTATGTATTTAATTAGTCCGTCTTACATGTCAATTGAGAACAACAGAAAAACTGTCGAATTGAAAAATACGGACGGATTTAACCTTAAGGAACTAAATTCAATTGAGGGGGAAAAAAGGACTTGTTCTGTGTACGACTACACAAACACATTGAGCCCTTTATATAAAGGAAAACGTTTTAATGTTGAAAACTCAAAACAGAAAAGAGAGTTATCAGGGTGTCACATTTTAAATCTTAACACACCTGATTGATCACTGTGGAGACTTCAGAGTCAGCTTTTCCTAAATAATGTTTGAGTCTGACCTTTGAAAAATAGCTTTTTGCTGTCACTATCCGATGTCCTGAAAAGCTCTCTGTCTGACACATCTTTGGTGTCAGACAGACGCATCCGTACTCACCCCCTGTTCGTCCAGCTTCAGCAGGGTGTCCCGGACCTTGGGGGAGTTTGAGGCCAAGCGAAGGCAGTGCAGGTTCAGTTCAGGCATGATGAACTCCAGAAGCCTCTTTGGAGACAAGCCCCGAGGGGTGGTGTGACGCGCGGCAGAAGGCACGGACTCCTCGAAGATGGATCCTCTCAGCGTCTTCATCTGAGGAGAGTCGTCACATGCAGTCAGATCGATTCAACACACACTGAACTCTGAGGACAGACGAGCGCCGGCTTACCTCTGTGGTGCGGAAGATGATTCGGTAATTGTACTGAGCTCCGCTGGACCCATCTTTCTCCTCCCGACGGAAACTGATGGCCACCGGACCGAGGCGATCGTCCATCCCGAAGAAATTCTGGTGTTCTGTGATCACAACACAGTCATACATGTGTCAGATCTGAAGCTCATACAGCACTGTTTGACAATTACTAGAGTGCAGAGGGGGGCTGCATGTTATATTTTATTTAGATCCTCCCCAGAGTTATGAATATTTTCTTTGAACCCTCCTCTTAATGGCAACACCCTCCCCCCTAATATATTCACTCAGTTTCATTCATTCCTTTATTTATACTCAGGAGAATATCGAGGGGCAATCCCCACTTACTATTCGAGTCAATTACAAACGAAAGAAAACAACAAGGAAATAAACAAACAATATTCAACGCCATTATAACAATAATGAAAGCCAACATAAAAACAACAGAAGATGTTTTTGATAGATACGATGGATTTTAAAACATATCAATTATAATACCGTATGCAAAATAGTACAGGGCAATACGGATGTATCTAAAAAACAATATTTATATTTATAACCATGTCCTTTTTCTGACATCCTCTCTCCTTCTATTTTTTACACAGTCCATAAATGGTCTTTTTTTTTCTTTTGAAAATGTGCTAAAAAAAAATGCTCTGGTTTATAATTTTTTTTCAGAGGTTGAAAATGATAACTTTTGTTAAGCTGGATAGATATGAAGTAGTATCCCTCCTTTCCATTGCCTAAACAGAACCAGCAGGAATTGAACTTGTACCTTTCATGTAGAAGTATTTGCGATAGTAATGGGCTCCCAGGTCTGCGTGCTCTATAAAGTAGTTGCTCTTCCCCTGCTGTTGCACGTGACTCTCTCTGGGCTCCTCCAGGACCGACACTGCATCGTTGGGGGTCCTCAGGCAGAGCCCCCTCCTCTCCTGGGACTGGTCCAGCCCCACCTGCTCCTCTCCGCCCGTCTCATTGCGGAAGTGTGGGCAGCTGAGCAGGAGTTCGTTGTCGTTGCCGTCGCCTTCGTCCAGCAGCAGCGACTGCTCGGGGTCCTCTGCGTTGACCCCGTTGCCCCCCCCTCCCTGCGCGGGCGAGGACGGGTTGGCCTGGGACAGGGGGCGCAGCTGGGAGGCGGCCGAAGCCCCCGAGGTGATGTTCTTTTTCCGTCCGATGCTGTCTCTGTTCATGGCCGCCTCGGTGAGGTCAAACAGGATGCTTTGGACATCATAGTGGGCGAAGTTCCTCACCCAGGCCCCGCCCCCGATGTTATCATAGGGACCCGGTTGAGGGATATGGGGGGGTTTGGCCTTCTTACTTAGACCTTCAGGCTTTGGGGGCTTGGGGGGTTTTGGGGAGTCCCCTAAAGACCCAATCAGACCCCGAAAGAATCCATCCGGCTCTGGAGGGTTGCCCTGCAGTCCCAAAAGCAGGAAAGGGTCTTTGAAGCGCAGGGCGTTCGGACTCAGGGGCCCCTGATCGTCTGTGCTCAGCTCCTGAATTTGAATCTGTCTCTCCAGTGAGGACAGGCTGCCGTATTCCCTGTGTAGCAGCACCCCCCCATCCCCCTGAGCCCCCGCACCCACCTTCTCACCAACCACCCGGGCTGCTTTCCCCCCTGCCTTCCCTGAGGAGTCCAGGTCTCCCAGGGTGACGTCGCTGTTACTCCTCTGCATGATGTGGCCCCGGCCCACCGACCTCAGCGTCAGCCCCACGCGGCTCGGTGTCAGGCTTTCTCCGTCAACTACATCGGTCTCTCTCCTCGGAGGCCACTCCACTACGCCTGCCTCGCGCTTGGGGTCAAAGTTGACGGTGGCGATAGGCGGCCGCATGTTCTGCCGGCGGAACTTGCGGATGAAGAGGTCGTCCGACTGCATGGCGCCTGAGAAATACACACCAGTCCAACAATCGCTTCCCCCACTCTGCTCCAGAGCGTTCTGCTCCTCCAGGAAAATGTCTGTCCTGTTCTCTATGGTGCTGGTATGAAACAGGAGCGATTAAAAAACCCCCACAAATAAACTTCTCATTCGCACAAATTACAATCTTTTAACTTTTTCCACCCTTGGGCTCTCATCGACGTGTCCGTGAGAGGCCACACTTTGAAATGACAAGTCAACAAGTTCTTAAGTGCAAATGAAGACGATGGAGGAGAATATGCAGCTGTGTCTGTTGCGAGACCCCGACCCATGAATCAGTCCTTGTCCTGGAGAGCAGATGCGTGTTTTGGTGGTGCTCCAGTTGGGGGTTTCTCATTCCTGCAGAGTAAGGATGAGAGGGTCATCGCCCGAGTCCTGTATCTGAGAGGCTCTTTTAACCCTTCGAACATGGCGTCCATTCAACTGCACTCTTCAGTGCCTGCTGCTTCCCTTTTGGTACACTGGACACCTGTAGAAAAACACAGAGAAACATCTTTATAAACTTCATCTTTCCAATCGTTCACCCGCACCGCCACTATCTTAATCGACAGCTTTATACTCAACCCTGAGCAGCTTGTGAGTGAGCACACTTAGAGGAGGGAATTGGCTTTGATAAACAAGTATTGAATTTTAACAATAAAGCAGCAGGCAGGTCTGACGCGCTGTATTGTTGAGTAATGCCTTGTTTTCTTTCATTATTGTTCTTTCCTTTACACACTTCCCGTTCCAAAAGTTTCCTAAAATAGTTCCATAGCAGACTTAATGCGCACCACGTCGCCCTGCACACGCTCACAATAGACACAGTATTAACACAGGGGAGGGGGCTTCCTGGCCCTCTGACACTGCCAACATTCAAGAAGTGCAAGTAAACTGTCTCTCACCCTCACATACGTTCACGCCAACACACGCAGCTTTGTTAGTTCACTTCTGCACCAGTAGTTAAGAGTACAACCACAGAAATATTGACACCAATACAGTATTTCAGATCAGCTGTTATTCATCAATTTGAGTCATTTAAAGCAACAGTTTTGCACTAAAGAGAGTCAGCCGGTGCACTTCCCTTTTTTAAGTAACAATATAGTTTATAATTCCTTGTTTTGACTTCAACTCACCAACAAAGTGCGTTTTGTTTCAGCTGGTTCCTGTTATCATTCGTTGCAGATGGCCCCGTCTTTGACAGAATTGACGTCAATGGACTCAAGTTGAAACCGAGTGTCGCTCTCAATAAGGTGCGAGGCTACTTCCTGTCTAGCGTTTTCACAAGCATCTCCTCTCTCACGCTTGCAGCCTAAAGAGCAGGTGCAGTGGTGCAGAGCTGCTAACAGAACAGCTTCACACACACACACACACACACACACACACACACACACACACACACACACACACACACACACACACACACACACACACACACACACACACACACACACACACACACACACACACACACACACACACACACACACACACACACACACACTATAGGAAGTCACAAGAAATCTTTGTTTCCCTTCCTTGCTTTCTCTCACTATCTCTCCAGTTCCTCACAGTTAGAAAATCTTTCAGCGGACATTTCTAAAAGGCTGAAACCAAAATAGTCTGTAACGTATCAAAGGTTATGCGTAGTTCTATTAGTGCATCATGAAATGCTTATGTGCGTAGTTATGTTACCATTCGTACCTTAATAATGTAGAAGCTATCTCTGATGCGGGTAGCAGGAAGTGTTTCTAGCTGCTGATTTTGCTCGTTTCTCTTTAAGGTCTTTGTTTTATTCTGAAGTGGATAATGTCTGCTTTTTAAAAAGTGGAAAAGAAAGGCTTTTATTATGCTCGTGACACGTTATTGTTCTCTATCATCTGATGCAACATTTGATCATTTTCAGCATTGTCTTCTGCGGCTCTATTCTATAACAAAAGCCTGAGAAGTGTGACATAAAAATGTCAAAGTCTCCATTGAATTGGCAAACAAAAACATGTTTATAAGTAATATTTCATTCAATATAAAAAAAGCTTACAATCTTTCAAAAAGCTTTAGGTGTAAAGTATTTGATCTGAAAGCTTCATCAAAGTAGGGGCTGGGAAGGTGTAGTTTTATTTTGTCATAACTGTCAAAATGTGCAAATACTGCCGTTTGTTGTAGCTCATGCTTATGTGCAAGCAGATCAAATGAGTGTCAAATGATCATAAGGATAGATAGTGTTACAAATAGTACATTATTCAACAATAAGTGTGACATTTTAATCAAATAAACCGTAATTTGTGAGTCTGATCGAACATATTATTTAGTTAGCTTGAAATGATACAGACAAGGAGAGCAATACAAAATGTGATAACCGTTTTTTAACATCTCTTACTAGTCCAGGCTTTCTTGAATCTAACAATTCAAGAGATTTCGGTTGTTTGGTTCCCTATCTGAGACACTGGCCGTTTCTCAATCGCGAGGAAACTGGCTTCCAAGCCAATATTTCAAGGATGCTACGCCATCGAGTGCCGCCGAAGGACTGTTCCAATCTCCAGCATACTTGGAATTCCACCGAGGCCACGTCCTTGGTTTGGGGGTAATTTCGAGGCTGCACATGGGTAGACTTCGCGTCCTT